ATCTTTTATCTTCCAATGATTGTAGCTAGATTGAGTCGTAGTAAAAAAATAAAAAATAAATAAATAAAATTTACAAAATGAAAATGTTTCTCTTCATTTACGTGTCAATTCTAGTCATTTAGCTACTTGCAAGCTGTTAATAAGTGAAACATAGTATCATGAATTCCCCCTCCCCATCTATTCCTGACAACAGAAAAATAAGGAAACAAAAGAAAGAGAAATTTACTTAAAAATAAACCTAACTTCAACTATGGGTTCAATTTTTGTAAATCATTTGTGTCAATTTTACCTAAAAATATGAGTAATAATATTTTTGTTTCAATGGTGTTTCTGAATTTAGTGGTGTCAATTGACACCACATCAAGCTATGCGGTTCAAGAGACTTGAATAATAAAACAATAGCCTTTATTTCAAGCTTTATATAGTTGAGCAGAAAACAAATTAACATACTAGGAGGAAACAAATTAGGAGCTATCACAAATTGTTTGGCAGCGTGACCATATATATATGGATGATCACTTAGGTGATGAATGAAGGAGAGTGCAAAACTGGAACAAGTTGAAGAGGAATTTTCTTGTGAACAACCAGGGAAGTAACCTCACTCATGTCAAAGTCCTCTTCTCTAACTGGACCACTTGGGTACTTCCAGTCAAACCAATACAAGAGGTTTGCAAGCACATATTCAACTATTAGGACTCCAAATGAGAAACCAGGGCAGCCTCTTCGGCCGGCACCAAATGGGTTGAAATTGAAGTAAGCAAAATTCTGAAATTTATATATCAAACAAAATTAAAAATTTACCTGTACTTTTGTAGCCTTTTTATTCTTTCCCTTCAACCGATTCACTATTTCATCCACTTTGCTAACCTTTGGTTTGGTACATGGACGACCTCTTCAACGAGCAACCATAGGACTAAGCATCTTGCGAGACATGCTTGCTTTTGTAGTACTATGAGCAGACGGACTTTTCGGCAAACTATGAGAAGGTGGTACATTACTAGTAGAAGGTTACACGTTATTAGTAGAAGGTGGCACATGACTCGCACTACCCAATTGATCTTTTCTTACTCTATCCTTGATTTTTGTCAACCCAAGATCAAGCGCTTCGTGTTTACCATCATCATTGGCAGCAATTTCTATGATTTCATCTGACATCTTGTGGTATTTATCATGCAACTTTGCATTAAGAACAGTCTCGGCTTTAGTGTATGTGGTTGGAATGCATGTGTACCCTCTTTCGATAACTTTCCTTCATCTTGATACAATGTATTTATCTGAAATTTGATATATGCACCTCTCAAGTAGCACAATAATTGCATGGGCACACATAATGCCCCTAAACTCAAACCACCGACACATACATTGCAATTCACATTCACTTACATTAAAGTACACAACAAATTCCACAGTCTTCATTTTCTCAGCGACAAGAACAGCCTCCTTCACATGATAAGTACAAATTGCTCCCTCATCTTTGACAAGATTCGCACGACAATACAATAGTCGCTTCAATTCTACTTGCACTTCTTTAAATTTTGCATTCGTGTAGGCTGCACAAAATTACTTCTCAAACTCATATATCGTTAAGCAATCATACAATTTGTTTCGAGATTTAAAGTTTGCTTTCATCTCTTTCTCGACCTTACTTCTCAAGGCATTATCATATTGATCAACAAATTGCTTTAAAGTTGTCTTTGAGTTCACATATCCATTAAAAAATGCATTCATACTCTCACTTCGTTGTGTAGTCGACATGCTAGCCCAAAAAACGTCCTTAACATAGGTAGGAATCCACCTGTGTCGCTCATTGTATAATACCCCCAACCACTCATTATCATCCAGATTAAACTTTGCAATCATCGCTTGCCATTCTTCATCAAATTCACCTTTTGTAAAACAATCATAAACTGCATTTTGCAAAGCAAACTTGATGGATTCATATTAGGCATATCCTCTTAATTTCTCCGGAATATTCTTCATTATATGCCATAAGCACCAACGATGTCGAGCTTGTGGAAATACAACTTCAATGGCATTTTGCATAGCTCTGCATTGGTCCGTTATTATGGCTTTTGAAGGAGCGTCTGATATGTAACTTAACCATTCTCTGAATAGCTACACAAATGTTTCAATGTTCTTATTAGATAACAACCCACAACTAAGCAAAATTGACTGTCCATGGTGATTAACTGCTACAAACGAAGCAAAATGGCATATCATATTTGTTTGTGAGATAGGTTGTGTCAAATGAAACCACATCCCCAAATGCTTCATAAGCTGTCTTACTCCTTGCATCCGCCCAAAACAAGTTTCGCATGTGACCATCTTCATCGAGGTCAATTGCAGAATAGAAGTTCAAATTTTGTTGTTGCATCCTATGAAAATAAAGTGCAACTGATTCAGTATCTCATACCCCAAGCCTCAATATTCTTGTACTCTCAATATGATTCCTTGCATCTCGTTCATCAAACGTTAATGCCTCATACCCCCCTGCTTCAACAACTATAGAATGAAAATTCCTAGCCACCCTTATCCCTGCTTTATCGTTTATTTCTAGTCTTCTCTTCACAGGAGTAAGAGTTCTCTTATTCATTGCAAAATGTCATGAGTCATTAGGAATCAAGTCATGCGTATGTTTAAGCACAGCTGTGGTTAACTTAAATCTTTCATCCTTTTGTAGAGGTGCTCTAACCTTTGCTTTATATTCAATGAATGATGACAAAGATGGTTCGAGAGGGTGTACTTCTGATCGTTTTGTTCTCTTGTGTGCCCGAGTACATTCAATTCCAAAGTATTTTACTTCCCCATCTTGTCCAATATTTTGTGTTCTATAAGCTACAGCAAATCCGAGGTGTTTCGCATATTTTGCATAAAACGAATATACTTTTTGCTTTATAAGCTGCCCTACTCATTGCATTCGCTCAAAACAAGTTTCGCATGCGACCATCTTCATCGAGGTCAATTGCAGAATAGAAGTTCGAATCTTGTTGTTGCATCCTATGAAAATAAAGTGCAACTGATTCAGTATCTCCTACCTCAAGCCTCAATCTTCTCATACTCTCAATATGATTCTTTGCATCTCGTTCATCAAATGTTAATGCCTTATACCCCCTGCTTCAACAACTATAGAATGAAAATTCCTAGCCACCCTTATCTCTGCTTTATCATTTATTTCTAGTCTTCTCTTCATAGGAGTAAGAATTCTCTTATTCTTTGCGAAATGTTGTGAGTCACTAGGAATCAACTCATGCGTATGTTCAAGTACAACTGTGGTTAACTTAAATCTTTCATCCTTTTGTAGAGGTGCTTTAACCTTTGCTGTACATTCAATGAATGATGACAAAGATGGTTCGAAAGGGTGTACTTTTGATCATTTTGTTCTCTTGTGTGCCCGAGTACATTCAATTCCAAAGTATTTTACTTCTCCATCTTATCCAATATTTTGTGTTCTATAAGCTACAACAAATCCGAGGTGTTTCGCATATTTTGCATAAAACGAATATACTTCTTGCTTTGTGCTAAAACACATGCCCATCTTAAGTTCTTCAACTTCACCAATCTCATTTAATGATGGATTGTTCTCCACTTCTTCGACTTCCTCAGTCTCATTCAATGAATGGTTATTTGAATCAATGTCCATTAAAACGTGTAGCTTCAAACCAAAATCCAGACAACATAACTAGTAACCACACAAAAAATAAAGTGTAAGTGCATATAGTGAGATAATAATCTAATGCAAATCTTAACTTAATATTGTCACATGTAACTTGGGTGATTTTTCATGAACAACATTTCAATTTTTTTAAGGTTCTCCAACATAACATAAAATCAGTAAGGTTCTTTTAATTTTTCTAACAGATCATAAAATCAGTAATGTTCTTCATACAGAACAGAACATACATCAGTTAATTTTAAAAATTGCTTATTTTAATTGCTTATTTGAAACTTGCTTCTTTTAATTGCTTATTATCCAACATAAGCATGTTTTGTTAAGCAGGTTCTCTAACATAAGCATGTTCTCTATATAGAACAGAACAGAACTGTGCTTATTTCCATTTCTCATTGCTTACGGATCATGAAGGTTTGCCTATCATACAAATTTCCTAATAAGAACTTTAGGAAGTAAAGGTAAAATGGTTGTCTTTTCTTTTGAATTCAGAACATAAAATTAGGATAATTTCTCTATGGAGACTTTCATCAAACAATTGGCATGCATCACTACAATAGAGGTATTTAATAGAGGGCTTGCTTCCAGAACAACCAAATTTTTTTTTTTTACAGACACAAATAATTCTTTTGAATTTAGAACATACAATCAAGATAATTTCTCTATGGGGACTTTCATCAAACAATTGGCATGCATCACTACAATAGAGATGTTTAACAGAGGGCTTGCTTCCAAAACAACCAAAAAATAAAAAAACAAAAATTTTACAGACAGATAAAAAAATTGCCTCTCTCACGTCACACACTTTGCCATATGCAACAAAATTGTCTCTCTCACAAATGCATCTCAGATAAAAAAAATAATAAATAAATAAATAAAAAAGAACAATAACTTACCTAATATTTTACTTGAGGATATTTGGCATGGAGATTCCGAACAGAGGTGGACGGTGGTCAGCGACGGTCGTTGGTGAACACCAGGTCAGTGGTCGTTGTGGTCGTCTCTCTTGTCGTCGTGAAGTCCTGCTCGTCTGGTTCACAACCTCTCTCTCTCTCTCTCTCTCTCTTCTCTCCTCTCTTGTTTCTGTTTTATTTTTCATTAGTTTGATCTCCAAACCAAAACACGTGAGTTCCACGTGCATCAAATTTTCGGAGGGAAAACACTTTTGAGCCATTCGGGCCACCGCCTATTCGGGCTCTGTCACGACCCAAACCTGCCGTTGAAAGTTTGGACATGACCAACCTAGCTTAGGCTTTATCTTTGTTAATTAAAATTTTATTTATATTGGGGCCTAAACAGAAGCAAAATAATAGTAGAACAAGCATTCATTGAGCTGTGTCTAAATGCCAGGATCTTGACACATCACAATACAAAAAGCACATAACATTCCATATATCATTTACATACTGTGGAAGGGGGTAGCAACCCAGAAGTTAGGTAATATATATAGATACATGCTTATTTCTCCAATTTCTAACAAAACATGCCAATATACTAATTTCTCCAAAATATAAGCAAAAGAGTCACTTTGGGTGACTTAGTAAAACGGGTGCACCAAAAGACTCCTGGGCTGACCTACGATTGTCCCGTGGGCTGATTACCTACAAAACATCCATAAAAAGAAATTGAGTGAGCAAGGCTCAGTGAATGATAGCAACACAAACAGGTTAAGAGCATGAGTGTAATTTGACAGTGCATATTCATATCCAGAGGTTAGTCTTGTTCATATTTCCTTTCCTAAACGGCTTAGGGCCCATATAAGACAGAACGACCTTAGGCCCAATGAAGTACAAAACGGCCCTGGGCCCAATGAAATACAAAACGGCCTTAGGCCCAACATATAAGCAAACAGAACGACCTCGGGTCCATATCTCTTGAGTCAAGTTCAGGCATATATCAAACATCTCTTGTAACATGAGTTGTTTACTAAAAGAGTAAATAAGATCTCGATTAACATGTATGAACACAATACGCGAATAGAACATGATATTACACTACTATCACTCACTGTGATATGGGTGAACGATGGTCCCCTCTTGTAGATGCCCTACACGTAGCACGCAACTTGTAAGTACATCAAGTATATCATTTTTCCTTAATTATATTTTATTTCTCAAATGTCTGATTTGTTAAGTTACAAGTAATTAAACGTATTAAAGAAACATCAAACGGACATTTAGACCCATTTGGAGGGTTAAACAGAACAAAAGAAGGTTACAAAATTTTCCGGCTTGGGCCGCACGTACGGAAGTCCCCACCGCACATGCGGGCAGGTGCGCGGGCCATACGTGCTTTTATTTCAGTATGGTTCAACTCTGCTCCCCTCACGTGCAGCCAAGGACCCCGCACGTGTGGTCGCATACTCTGTTTGGCAGTCCAAAACTGCAGTATACTCAAGCCCTTTTTCAAGGCATTTTCAAGGCTTGACTCAACAATTTCACTTCAACAGTATGACATATAATCACATTAAGCATAAACCTTAACTCAAGTAAATTATAACTTACTTTAATTCTCATATTACTTCATCTTTTCATGGTCTAATAAGGTGATACAACATGTAGGGTTCAAAACATGCCAAACTTGAGGATTAGAAGGCATATCCTCTCAAGCTACTCAAAACAATCCCAAATTGAATAATCAACCTTCTATTAACCAAATCCAAGATTAGGTATTCAATTTCATGGAATAAGTTAAACTATGAGAATAATTCATAAACCCTAACTTTCATGGGTATAGAACTTCATCCCAAAGCTTGATTCCAATGAAAAGATGGAGGATTAAGAGTAGTTTAGTTAATTCCCACTTACCTTGAGAGCTAAAGCTTTACTTCATCCAACAGTTTCTTCTATCTCTAAATTCTTCTCCTCTCTCCCTCTCTTTTCTCTTCTTTCTTTCTCTCTTGGGTGCTCTCTAGACTTCACTCAAAATATATGAAGAGATGAATTTAAAAGGGACTTATGTACATATATATGTATTTAACTACCTTGCTTGCCAAACGAGCCTTAATGAATCAAACGAAATAAATTTTCAATTAAACTTCCTAAATGGCTCTAAAAATCCCCATTAACATATTCATATACTCAATTTCAGTTTATCGCGCCTCTACGGCTTTCAATTTTCAAGTTAAACGTCCTAATTTAACAGATGTTTTCCTATAACCAATAGATAGAATAACATAATTAAATGATTCATATAGATAAGCACATTTTCACATGGAATTTCACATTAAATAGGTAATTAGTCATATAATTAGAAATGTAAAGCATATAAGAGGGTTGGGTTATTACAGGCTCTGTAGCAGCTCTGATTAGAAAAGAGAAAATTAGAGACAACCAAAATATTGTCTCGAAAATTGTCATTAAATTTTGTTTGTTTGATTTTTATTTTTTATTTTATTTTATTTATTTTTTTAAAATAAGATGGGCCTCACTTAACTTGTGATGTCTTTTGACAATTAGGTTAAAAATCTGTTTATTGGATTTTTAGTTTTTTTAGGTCATATCACTTTTTTTTTTTTTTTTTTTATTTCTAATCTTCTCTTCACAGGAGTAAGAATCCTCTTATTCATTAGAAAATGTTGTGAGTCACTAGGAATCAACTCATGCGTATGTTCAAGTACAACTGTGGTTAACTTAAATCTTCCATCCTTTTGTAGAGGTGCTTTAACCTTTGTTGTACATTCAATGAATGATGACAAAGATGGTTCGAAAGGGTGTACTTTTGATCATTTTGTTCTCTTGTGTGCCCGAGTACATTCAATTCCAAAGTATTTTACTTCTCCATCTTATCCAATATTTTGTGTTCTATAAGCTACAACAAATCCGAGGTGTTTCGCATATTTTGCATAAAACGAATATACTTCTTGCTTTGAGCTAAAACACATGCCCATCTTAAGTTCTTCAACTTCACCAATCTCATTTAATGATGGATTGTTCTCCACTTCTTCGACTTCCTCAGTCTCATTCAATGAATGGTTGTTTGAATCAATGTCCATTAAAACGTGTAGCTTCAAACCAAAATTCAGACAACATAACCAGTAACCACACAGAAAATAAAGTGTAAGTGCATGTAGTGAGATGATAATCTAATGCAAATCTTAACTTAATATTGTCACATGTAACTTGGGTGATTTTTCATGAACAACATTTCAATTTTTTTAAGGTTCTCCAACATAACATAAAATCAGTAAGGTTCTTTTAATTTTTCTAACAGATCATAAAATCAGTAATGTTCTTCATACAGAACAGAACATATATCAGTTAATTTTAAAAATTGCTTATTTTAATTGCTTATTTGAAACTTGCTTCTTTTAATTGCTTATTATCCAACATAAGCATGTTTTGTTAAGCAGGTTCTCTAACATAAGCATGTTCTCTATATAGAACAGAACAGAACTGTGCTTATTTCCATTTCTCATTGCTTACGGATCATGAAGGTTTGCCTATCATACAAATTTCCTAATAAGAACTTTAGGAAGTAAAGGTAAAATGGTTGTCTTTTCTTTTGAATTCAGAACATAAAATTAGGATAATTTCTCTATGGAGACTTTCATCAAACAATTGGCATGCATCACTACAATAGAGGTGTTTAATAGAGGGCTTGCTTCCAGAACAACCAAATTTTTTTTTTTTACAGCCACAGATAATTCTTTTGAATTCAGAACATACAATCAAGATAATTTCTCTATGGGGACTTTCATCAAACAGTTGGCATGCATCACTACAATAGAGAGATGTTTAACAGAGGGCTTGCTTCCAAAACAACCAAAAAATAAAAAAATAAAAATTTTACAAACAGATAAAAAAATTGCCTCTCTCACGTCACACACTTTGCCATATGCAACAAAATTGTCTCTCTCACAAATGCATCTCAGATAAAAATAATAATAAATAAATAAATAAAAAAGAACAATAACTTACCTAATATTTTACTTGAGGACATTTGGCATGGAGATTCCGAACAGAGGTGGACGGTGGTCAGCGACGGTCGTTGGTGAACACCAGGTCAGTGGTAGTCATGGTCGTCTCTCTTGTCGTCGTGAAGTCCTGCTCGTCTGGTTCACAACCCCTCTCTCTCTCTCTCTCTCTCTCTCTCTCTCTCTCTCTTCTCTTCTCTCTTGTTTCTGTTTTATTTTTCATTAGTTTGATCTCCAAACCAAAACACGTGAGTTCCATGTGCATCGAATTTTCGGAGGAAAAACACTTTTGAGCCATTCGGGCCACTGCCTACTCGGGCTCTGTCACGACCCAAACCTGCCCCTGAAAGTTTGGACATGACCCACCTCGCTTAGGCTTTATCTTTGTTAATTAAAATTTTATTTATATTAAGGCCTAAACGGAAGCAAAATAATAGTAGAACAAGCATTCATTGAGATGTGTCTAAATGCCAGGATCTTGACACATCACAATACAAAAAGCACATAACATTCCATATATCATTTACATACTGTGGAAGGGGGTAGCAACCCAGAAGTTAGGTAATATATATAGATACATGCTTATTTCTCCAATTTCTAACAAAACATGCCAATATACTAATTTCTCCAAAATATAAGCAAAAGAGTCACTTTGGGTGACTCAACAAAACGGGTGCACCAAAAGACTCCTGGGCTGACCTACGATTGTCCCGTGGGCTGATTACCTACAAAACATCCATAAAAAGAAATGGAGTGAGCAAGGCTCAGTGAATGATAGTAACACAAACAGGTTAAGAGCATGAGTGTAATTTGACAGTGCATATTCATATCCAGAGGTTAGTCTTGTTCATATTTCCTTTCCTAAACGGCTTAGGGCCCATATAAGACAGAACGACCTTAGGCCCAATGAAGTACAAAACGGCCCTGGGCCCAATGAAATACAAAACGGCCTTAGGCCCAACATATAAGCAAACAGAACGACCTCGGGTCCATATCTCTTGAGTCAAGTTCAGGCATATATCAAACATCTCTTGTAACATGAGTTGTTTACTAAAAGAGTAAATAAGATCTCGATTAACATGTATGAACACAATACGCGAATAGAACATGATATTACACTACTATCACTCACTGTGATATGGGTGAACGATGGTCCCCTCTTGTAGATGCCCTACACGTAGCACGCAACTTGTAAGTACATCAAGTATATCATTTTTCCTTAATTATATTTTATTTCTCAAATGTCTGATTTGTTAAGTTACAAGTAATTAAACGTATTAAAGAAACATCAAACGGACATTTAGACCCATTTGGAGGGTTAAACAGAACAAAAGAAGGTTACAAAATTTTCCGGCTTGGGCCGCACGTACGGAAGTCCCCACCGCACATGCGGGCAGGTGCGCGGGCCATACGTGCTTTTATTTCAGTATGGTTCAACTCTGCTCCCCTCACGTGCAGCCAAGGACCCCGCACGTGTGGTCGCATACTCTGTTTGGCAGTCCAAAACTGCAGTATACTCAAGCCCTTTTTCAAGGCATTTTCAAGGCTTGACTCAACAATTTCACTTCAACAGTATGACATATAATCACATTAAGCATAAACCTTAACTCAAGTAAATTATAACTTACTTTAATTCTCATATTACTTCATCTTTTCATGGTCTAATAAGGTGATACAACATGTAGGGTTCAAAACATGCCAAACTTGAGGATTAGAAGGCATATCCTCTCAAGCTACTCAAAACAATCCCAAATTGAATAATCAACCTTCTATTAACCAAATCCAAGATTAGGTATTCAATTTCATGGAATAAGTTAAACTATGAGAATAATTCATAAACCCTAACTTTCATGGGTATAGAACTTCATCCCAAAGCTTGATTCCAATGAAAAGATGGAGGATTAAGAGTAGTTTAGTTAATTCCCACTTACCTTGAGAGCTAAAGCTTTACTTCATCCAACAGTTTCTTCAATCTCTAAATTCTTCTCCTCTCTCCCTCTATTTTCTCTTCTTTCTTTCTCTCTTGGGTGCTCTCTAGACTTCACTCAAAATATATGAAGAGATGAATTTAAAAGGGACTTATGTACATATATATGTATTTAACTACCTTGCTTTCCAAACGAGCCTTAACGAATCAGACGAAATAAATTTTCAATTAAACTTCCTAAATGGCTCTAAAAATCCCCATTAACATATTCATATACTCAATTTCAGTTTATCGCGCCTCCACGGCTTTCAATTTTCTAGTTAAACGTCCTAATTTAACAGATGTTTTCCTATAACCAATAGATAGAATAACATAATTAAATGATTCATATAGATAAGCACACCTTCACATGGAATTTCACATTAAATAGGTAATTAGTCATATAATTAGAAATGTAAAGCATATAAGAGGGTTGAGTTATTACAGGCTCTGTAGCAGCTCTGATTAGAAAAGAGAAAATTAGAGACAACCAAAATATTGCCTCGAAAATTGTCATTAAATTTTGTTTGTTTGATTTTTATTTTTTATTTTATTTTATTTATTTTTTTAAAATAAGATGGCCTCACTTAACTTGTGATGTCTTTTGACAATTAGGTTAAAAATCTGTTTATTCGATTTTTAGTTTTTTTAGGTCATATCACTTTCTTTCTTTCTTTTTTTGCATATTTTTCAACCAAAAAAAAATTAAAAAAAAGTTGACTTTTAACCTATTTCCTAAAATAGGCATGTGTTTTGATGACAATTTTTATAATGCTATTTTTGTCTAAAATACCCTTTATTTACAAACTTACATGACATGTATAACTTCTTGTTGAATTACCATATGATTTTAGAATAAGACATTTAATGACTATATGAGTTTTTAAGTCTAATTTGAGAAGGTTTGAAATACGAATTTTCACACTTATGTCTGAGGTGGCGTTTGCCAATTTGATTTTTTAATTAAAATAATTTAAATGTTAAAAAAAGAGTCAAGAAGCTAAACAAAACCACTAAAAAAAGTCAAATATCTCAATAATTTATGATTTAAGATACAACTAAAAATAATTATTTTTAAAAGTCAAAAGACAATTAAAAAGTCAATTCTCAAAGTCGTATTCCTCATAAATTTATTAGAATTTTTCTTTCTCGTTTTAAAATTTTATTCATATTAATTATATGTTGTATTTAGTTTTTATTACAACTGTTATTTATTGAACTTTCATTAATAATTAAAAAAAAATAAAACCTTCAAATGAATAATCATTTTGCACACTAGCTGTAGTAGACAGTTATATCCATCTTCTTGGAGCCCAATGGGCTTTATGGCTTTAATTGGTTAAACTAAAAATTTCTAAGCTTGACGTTTTTTATTTTTAGAGGAAAATATCAATCAGTGGTAATTTAACATAATTATTACATATTAATGAAAAAAATTATAATTTTAATTATTAATATTTAAAAATTTTACCACTTATTTGTAATTAACTTTTAAATTATACACTGATAAAAAATTTCCCCTTGTTTTTAAGCCTCAAAGTTTGTAGGTCCAAAGGAGAAAATATTAGTCCAATGTAACCCTACCAAAATTTTTTAATTCCGCACAAGGATCAAGGCCCATAATCAATAGGCTTCATCTAAATTACTAGTTCACCTTGGGCCATTTCATGTGGTTCAAAAATAGGCTCTTGGGGGTAGGCATTTGGGCTCAGTTAGTTCTCGACATTAATCTAAAAGTAGTATTACTATAAGGTTATTTGGAAAGTGTTAGATTAGTATACTTTTTGATTTTTTACAAAAAAATATGAAATATGAGTTAGGTTTAAAGTGATGTGGTAGAGAGATGATGTGATTTAAATAAGATAATTGTGACCTAAATAGAATAATGTACTAAAATAACATGTGTTATTTTAGCACATCTCAAACAATCACTATATCACACGAAAAATAAATAGGTTAAATTAGTATCAAATAACTTGTATTTTGGTACGAGTAGCTTGTTTATTACAAGAATTGATATACATTTGATGAAGTGATTTTCTTAAAAAATAAAATAAATTTTATGACCTTATTTAATACTGAAACTAATCTTATTTATCACACAATTTATTTTAATTAATTTCAAAACAACTTGTGTGTGTACCACAGTGGAACAGACGAGGAAAAAAAGTCCTCTTTGATATATTATTAAAATGTACAATTTTGATTCTCTCATGCCAATGTCTGTCTTGTTGTATAATAATAATAACAATAATAATGTAAAACTACTTCAAAATAAAGAGGTCAAACTCATCCAATCGTGTGTCAATTTCTCTATTTGTTTTTTATATTTTATATATATGTATTTACCTTCACTGTCGGGATAGGGTGGCCACAATGTTTGGAGGAAAAAAATATTTATATAAACATAAATAAAATATATAAATAAATAAGAGCGTAAATGTCAACACAATGAGTCATTATATTGATTTTTTTTCTCTTTATTTTTAGTGAGAATTATACATTCTTGATACTTTTCATTATTTTAAACATTGTTGGGTCTAAAAGTATTTAAGACTTTAATCTAACATGTCCCAACTTGGTTTAATATTACGCAATAATTTTACAAATAATGAATCAATAATAAAAAAATTAATTTTAATCATACATATCAAATTAATGATGGAATTTACCATTATATAAATTACTCCATTTATGTTACTCTATTGTTAGTTCTATTATATTGTCTATAATATTTCGTCCAACACTTTGATAGTTCCATAATGACGAGAGTCAAAATGAAATACCAATTAAATATTAAGAAATGTCGGTATAAGTTTTTTGTTTTATGAAAAATGATTCATTTTTTTTATTTTGATTCTTAATTTCACTCTCAATAATATAGAATTAAGAGAGCTAAAGATGAGAGAGAGAGAAAAAAGTATAAAACTGCTTTACATATGTCTTTGCCGCATCATTTGAAGTGGAGTTAAAGGGTCTCAATTAGAAGATGTAGCGAGACTTTTTTTTATACTAACAAAACAAATTATACTTTATGAAATTATTGAGAAAAGTTAATTTGCTCTAAAATTTAATTGGGTAAATTACACCAAAGGTCCCTATAGTTTTTCACAAGTTTTATTTTAGTCTCTAATCTTTCAATTTGAATACATTTACCCTTCAAGTTTTGTTTTTGTGTCAAATAAGGATAATCATGGATGGAAGTCAAGCTTTTGGATGGAAAATGGTGACATGCATTGTACATGATCATCTTTTAAAGACAAAATAGTATTTTTATTCTTCTCTCTCTATAATTCATCTTGTTTCTTTCTTCGACTATCACCACCTACAGCCACCAACCACCACCGCCAAACATTACCACCTTATGCATAGGCACCAAGCACCACCAAAACACCTCCTCTTCCACACCATCATCTCATCAAAGTAATTTTAAACTAACAAAAAATCTACCTCAAATGAATAGCAAATCTCATCACTTCACCAACCCAAAATCCACCTCCCATCATCACCCTTGAACCACTATCAGAGTATCCCACCAAACTCTCTTTACCCTACCACTTTCACCATCCTAAATCCAACTTCAAATCCTCCCATCAAAATCTGCATCTTCAACAAAGCAGACCATTGAATCTACTGCAACAACCTGTAGTGAATTTTTTTTATATACACATCACATACAGAGAGGAGATGAAGGGTGGTTTGGGCAAGAGTGAAAAGGAATTGATAGACGATAGTTTGATCTAGGAAAGGACAAGAAGACATAATGGAGTCATAGGTAAAGAAGATGGAAGGAGAAGCATGTGCTGGTTGCTATGCGAAGTGATGAATTTGGTGATACGGGGTTGATAAGTAAACAAAGTGATTGAGTCAACCCAAAAAGTGACTCAAAGTAAATGACCTCAATTGACTAGTGTATCTTTTCATTTTTGCTCCTAAAAGATGGTCCTGTGCACTGTATGTAATCATTTTCCATCCAAAAACTTAACTTTCATCCATAATTATCTTTATTTGACACAAAAATACAATTTAGAGGGTAAATATTTTCAAATTGAAATATCAAGAACCAAAATGAAATTCGAGAGAAACTATAGGGACCTTTGGTATAAATTTAATTTGATTGAGAAATATGGAGATGGACGGAAGAATCAACTAGTCCAAATGAGTTTTATCCCAATTTAAAAATAGATAAATTACAAATACATTTATTGAGATTTATTTAAAATATAGGTTATCCTTTATAATTTTAAAAATTACAAATATTTCTCTGTCAAAAAAATTTATTTAATAGAATTAACATAAAAAATGAAATTGCTAACTACTATCCTATATAATAATAAAATTACTAGAATTGTTAATTGACTTAATAATTTATTAATAAAATAGATAATTTATTATGCGATAAGAAATTTGAAAGAACATATGTAATTTTTAAATTTACAATGTACAATTCGTATTTTATATAAATCTCAATAGATGTATTTATGATTGACCTTTTAAAAATTAACGTTCAATATCAAAGCGATGTTTATCCTTGATTTGTTTTTGGTATCTTAATTAATTAAATTCACGCATTCATGAAGAATATAAGATTTTTCTATTAAAAAAGAATTCCGAGATTTTTGAATAAAAAAAAAAGTATACAATTTTTGGTGAGTGGCGAAAATATTTATTTTTATTTTTGGACACGTTTCTCTCCAATTAGTTTTTTCAATTGGAAATTATTGTTACACTGTAGGCTTACTCCGAAATTCAAATTGCTTAATAGGTAAAGTTTATTAAATATTTTACTTTTATAAAAAATTATGTTGATTAAATATTAATAATTATTTAATCTGATTATATTTATATTAATAATTTATTTTTAAAATTATACTTATCATTGATATAAATTTAATGTGATTAACTCATTATTTATATTTAATTAATATAATTTTTTAAAAGAATAAAATACTTGACTAGTCTTATTCATTCAATAATTCGTATGAAGTCGTCCAATATGAAACGGAGAAAAGCCTAACTGTCTCCTGCCGAATGTCATCCCACCTGAAAGAGAAAGAAGTGAATGTGGCAACGAGAGAGAGAGAGTCTGTTCCAACCAACTTTTTTACCTTTTTCCCAAACCAAACAGCCCCTATAGCCTCCCCAACGCAACCCCATCTGGCCCAGATCTTCTTCACCCACTTTCCCTCCGCTTTTAGGGCCATCCCCCTTCACAGAATTATGAAAACCCACAAATCCTGAGCTGGGTTTCTCTGATTCCCCTTCTGGGTCTGCCCAATTTGATCGTATGGAGGACGAAAAGTACTCGAAAGAGTTGGATGTGGCTGTCCGAGTGGTGCACTTGGCGTGTTTTCTGTGTCAGAGAGTGCAAGAGGGTTTGGTTTCTACCAACAGTGATCATGTCAAGTCCAAGGACGATGATTCGCCTGTTACTGTTGCAGGTGCTAAATTGATTTCTATGTTTCTGTTTTTGATTTATTTGAACTGGGTTTTTGTTTTTTCTCTGTGGGTTCATTGATTTTAGTGTTTGGTGGGTTTTTATGGGCTTGAGATTATCTGCATTACTGGTTTTTGCTTTTATTACTCCTTTCTCAATTTGGATTGCTTTGATTTTATTTCCAAATTGCTTTTTCTGCTTCTTTTTCCCTTTTCTTGAACTGTGTTTTTGTTTTTTTTTTTCTCAGTGGGTATGCTTTGATTGGAATGTTTGTTGTGTGCATTGCTTTTGGTTTTTACAGTTTTGAGATGATCTGCATTACTAGTGTTTGATTTTATTACTCCTTTTTTTTTTCTTCTTCTTTTTTTTAATTTGGATGCTTGGAAAATGTGAACAAACAAAAGTAAATTTTGAATCTTACAGTTCATTATCACATCATTTTGTATAGGGCATTCTTTATATTATTCTGCTTTAAATATAAGATATCCACCAAAAACTGGCTAAATGGTTAATCAAAAAGAAAACAACTCCTTTTAAATATTTTGTTCTAATTTTATGTGGCTTTTCTTGGGAAGTTATTGTGAAATTGAATGCTTTTGAATTGCTTTGTGTCCTGTGGCAAAGTGTATTATGGTGTTTTTGACCGGTGAGGCAAAGTGATGTACTATTTCTTTTGATTCATTATATATTTTGGTGCATTGTAGTCTCCATTCCTCTTTTTCCCTCTTCAGAGTTTTTCTAAAGTGGTAATTTTTTAAGCTTGTGAATTTGATGCATGCTAAATTCAGGTTATGTTATGTGTACACATTTAAATTAAATCGGTTTTTGTTTTCCTTACCCATCTAACATGCCTAATTCAGCTGTGGTGCCTATTTAATCAAATAACAGTAGAATTGATGGATAGTGATGTTAAATGCTCCGGTGTGCAATGCAGACCACATGTAACCTTAACACGAAATTACGTAATCTCACAAAAAAGCATAAGTTGAACACAAATTCACATAAGTTCGTGAAAACTTTTGTGATTTTGTGAATTTATGCGAAGTTGTGTTCAACTTGCATATTTTTGTGAGAACACTTATATAAGTTCTTGAAAATTTATGTAATTTTGTGTCAGGGTTGCATACGGTGTGCAATGCACACCAGAGAATTTTCCTTTTCTTTTTGCTAAATGGAAAGCAAACACATATGGTTGATGCCATTACGTAGTGGTGGTGAGTAAAATTATCATCATGCATGGGCCAACAATTCAAAATGTGAGGTCTCTTCAAGTCGTAAATACAAGACTTCGAGTTCGATTTTGTTACTATTTGTAAATACATGCATTTTTGTCTAACCTTGTCTGTAAGAGGCAAGTATGAAGTGTGAAACTTTTATGTTTATTCCCATCTGTAGAAGTGCCTTTCTGAATTTCGGTTTTCATTTGGAGTTTTATATACCTTTATTTGGGTGCCTAGTTCTTTGTTAAGTGTCTAATTTGCTTAACTGATTTTTAAGAGCATTGTTCTGTCTTATATATATATATGTATTTTCTATTATTGAGGCCTTTTTCTCTAGAAACTTTTGTGTGTGTGTGTGTGTGTGTGTTGTGTTGCATGCCCCTTTTCTTGTCAGTTTTCCTTGAAAAAGTGAATTGGGATAGATTTACTCCCTATATACCTTTTTTTTTTTTGGCTTGAAAATATGTTTTATTTATTTATCTCTACACTTGCTGAAGGAAGCAGTTTTGCTGCAGTCGCTCAAAATGCTGCTGTTCCAGTTGCTTACATATTTCCAGTCTGAATCCTCCATATGACATTAAATCCCATACATCTTAATGGATTCCTTATGTTAAAAACTTCATTTGTGCCATCTGACTTTGCTTCCATTATTTAATATAAATTTTGCTTTCCAACTTTATCTCTCCTCATCTTTATCTCTCATCTCTCCTCTGTAATAACTTCCCCTTGTTCAATCCTCCCTCTTCTCTCACTGAAGGAAAACTCTAGAGTTAAACAGTGATTTTCTGAAGAATTGCAACTAACTATTACTGTAACCCTGGTTTTCTCAAAATTATTGCATTTCTATTATGTTAGTTTTTACACGGAAGTTTATAAGAGAAGGATTGTGCAGCGTGTCTCTATCTCAATCTTTTTGTTTTTCAACTCCACTGTTACTGTGATTTTCATATTTTAAGATCTTAGAAGTAATATGATCTTCATATGCACTTGTTTGATAGCCGACAGTTTATAATTTATTCATTATCTTGATGAGGTATATGTCATAGTGTCTGTTCTGAGCATAAGTTACTGGTTTAATTATATCTGTAAGAGCATCTCCAACCGTGTACCAAATGTTTCACCAAATCTGAGTAAAAAAGGGGTCATTTCTAGTGTCTGTTCTGAGCATAAGTTACTGGTTTAATTATATCTGTAACTGGGGAGCTTCTTATCCCTTGGTTGGTACCTACATGTTCTTGTTTACTGTTAATATTGGTGTATGCGCTTCCATGATTGGTTGGTTAATTCTTTTAATTTTTTCTGCATGAACAGATTGGAGTGTGCAAGCAATGGTTAGCTGGATGCTGTCAGAATACTTTGGTAGACAAAATGTATCCATTGTTGCCGAAGAAGATGTTGAAACTCTCTCCAAAGCTGATTCAACTGATCTGTTGGACGCAGTGGTAAGCACCGTGAACGAATGCTTAGCTGAAGCTCCCAGGTTTGGCCTTAAAAGACCCGATAAAACTATTGGGAATTCACAAGTTCTTGAGGCCATCAGCCGATGCAACTCAAGTGGGGGTCCTACAGGAAGGCATTGGGCCCTCGACCCTGTTGATGGGACATTGGGTTTTGTACGTGGGGATCAATATGCTGTTGCGTTAGCCTTGATTGACAATGGACGAGTTGTACTTGGAGTTCTTGGCTGCCCTAATTACCCAATGAGGAAGGAATGGTTAAATATTCATCACCAACACTATCGAAGTATGTCAAAATCGTTGCCTTCTTCCCATTCTTGGGAAGAAGGATGTGTGATGTATGCTAGTAGAGGTAGTGATGAAGCATGGATGCAGCCATTAATTCGTGGCGATGAGAAGTTTGAGTGGCCGAACTTTGCAAAACTGATTCGGGTTTCTTCCATTGATGATCCAGCACTAGCAACTTTTTGTGAACCAGTGGAGAAGACAAATTCAAACCACTCCTTCACAGCAGGACTTGCTCATAGTGTCGGGCTTAGGTATGTTCACATTTTGTCTCTTTTATTACAAATTAGAGTTACGACCTTTTACCAGGACATTTGGAAAGGTTGGTTAGAATTTTGTCAACTTTAGTGAGTGGAGCCATGACTGGATTTCATGGGTGGCTGTTGGATGTGGAAAACGGGGAAACTAATGGGTAGTCCGGGAGTACTATGTGACATTGCTTACATAGTGCTCCCCACGGAGAAACCATAGAACACACTAGGTTGGTTAGCCCTTACCTAACAAAGGTGGATCATCATTGCCCCACCTGTAAAGTAAATTCTTCCGCTACGTCATTGGTTGAGAGCACCATGTGGACAAATGTTGTACAAATTGTGTGAATTAAATAAAAGAAATAGATTCATGGTAAATTAAATTGGAAAAACCACAAAACAAGAATTCATGTGAAATTATATCTTGATGAACATAAATACATATAAAATAAGAAAAGAAAGCAAACCGAAACCTGTGTGATACCACAGTCTCCTTAAAATAGATTCGTCGCCTCACCGTGGTATTGGAGGCATGTTGGTATCTGTCTCCTAGGATACAACGGTTTAGAACTCGCTAATGCAAACGCACCTTCTGCTTAGCTTCGACGAACTGACAATGGCAGTGCTCTCTCACACAGGAAGAATATATTATAGGAGCAAACTAACTATAATATGAGAGCAAAAATTTGTGTACTCCAACCAAAGAGGATGGTCTCCTTTTATACACAATGGGAAAAAGAGGAGGAGAAAACTTAGTATATTTTTATGATTATCTTCTCAATGTTGAGCATGCCCTTATATAGGCATCTTTGGCAAGACATATGGTAAGGCCATGTGTACCTCATGGTTAGGCCATGTGTGTCTCATGGTCTAAGACACCATTAAGGCCATGTGTCCCTCATGGCTTAAGACACTATTAAGGCCAAGTGTCCCTCATGGTTAGGCCATGTGTCTCTCATGATTAGACCATGTATAAAATGCTCAATCTCTCATTCATGAGGCCAACTTTATGAGACAATTTTCATTCAATTCTCAAATCAAAAAACTTTTTCCCCACATGAATAAAAATTGACCGAATAAAGAATAACGGGTAACGTTTAACAACAAAGACTCGGAGAGAGAGCACATAGATTAACCCTATATCAAAAAAGATAGTTGTTGGCCTTGAACCTTTTGTAGTGAAAGCCTATCGGATTTATTGGCTGACCTGTAAACGTGATGTTTGAATTGTTCTGCCGTTTCTGTAAACCGAGACAATAAACCTCACACAAGAGTTAGTCTAACCATTGTTCTTGTTCTCACTGGCGTGTTTAGTATGGCCTTGGAATACTAGCCTAGTTTAGTGAGTGTTTTTAAAGAATTCGGCTTTGTCAATTCTTAAAGAAGCGGCCCCACTTCGCACTCACATAGGTGACCTTGGTATCTCACCTATTTAAGGTATATCACTATATCATGATTGATTATTTTCGTCACCTAGGTCATTAAAAACATTAGCTTAACCTTTCACCGTATCACTGAATAAAGGAATGGGCAAGAGGATTTACCTCTTCAGTGACTCACTTGTTACACGTAGTTAGATTGTCCCTTTAAAACTAAATCTTGGGATCTCCAGTCAGCTAGGTTGGGTTTTCCATTCCGATAACATTAACTAAAGGCCTTAACCCCATTCTTCTTGACGACGTTTCTACTAACTCTCGAGTTAACCTTTTGGTTAGCGGATCTGCAATGTTGTCCTTAGACTTTACATAGTCTAGAGAGACAATTCCATTAGAGAGTAGTTGTTGTATGGAATTATGTGTACAACGGATATGTCTAGACTTTCCATTATACATATTACTCTGTGCCCGCCCAATCAGTGATTGGCAATGAATACAGATATCAAGCACAGGTTTTGGCCAACATGGAATATCTTCAACAAATTGGTGAAGTCATTCAACTTCTTTGACATAAAATGACACAAAATGACATAACATTTGTCAGTGTCTTTGACATATATGCAGTTGTCACACACATTGATCCTAATCCCATTTGACAACATAGCATTGTCAAACTTCTCATGCCATTGTTTAGGAGTTTGCTTTAAACCATACAATGACTTGACAAGCTTACAAACTTTTTTATTTTACCCTAGAGCTGAAAACCCTTTGGGTAGTTCCATGTAGATTTTTTTCATTTAAATTTTCATTTAAGAAAGCTATCTTTACATCCATTTGATATATCTATAACCACGTAAAGTTGCTATCACAATTATCATGCGAATGGATGTAATCCTTGTTACTAGTGAATACGTATCAAAGTAATACAGCCTATACAGGCCTTCTCGCTGTCTGTATCCTTTGATAACTAGCCTAGCTTTGTACTTATCAATTGACCCATCGACCTTCATTTTTCTTCTAAAGATCCACTTACTCCCTAAAGCCTTACTACCTGGGGGTAGATCAACCAACTCCCCGGTGTGGTTTTTTAAGATGGAGTTCAATCTCACTTTTAATCACTTCTTTCTGCAAAGGACTTTCAGGTGAAGCCACAACTTCATGAAAATTTCGAAGTTCTCCCTCTAACGTATAAGTCAAAAAGTCCAGAGATGTCCTTGCCCTCTTGCTCCTTCTTGGCTCATCTACTTCTTCATGTTGATTAATATCACTAGGAGCATCTTCAAGTTTCGTTTCAGAACTTTAATCCTCTCCTCGAGTTTGACAAGAAAACACGTCCTCATAGGACGTATTCCTTGACTTCATAATGGTATTCTTGGATATATTTGAAATATCAGATTTGTGCACAAGAAACCTATATGCACTACTATTCTGTACATAACCAATTAATATGCAATCCACGATTTTCGGACCTATCCTAACCCGCTTGGGTGCAGGTACCACTACTTTTGCAAAACACTCTCACATTTGTAGGAAATTATAGGAAGGCTTGTGGCCTTTCCATAATTCATACGAAGTCTTATCTACTTTCGTCCGAGGTATTCTATTAAGAATATAATTCGCGGAGAGAATTGCTTCCCCTCACAAGTTTTGTGGAAACCCAGAACTTATCAACATTGCATTCATCATTTTCTTTAACATCCTGTTTTTTCTCTTAGCAACACCATTTGACTGAGGGGAATATGACGCTGTAGTTTGGTAGATAATTCCAAATTGAGCACAAATCTCAATAAACGGCGATTCATATTCTCCACCACGATTACTTCTTAAAACCTTTATCTTTCGGTTTAGTTGATTCTCAACTTCATTATTAAAAAGAATAAATTTATCAATTACCTCATTTTGCTTTTAAGCAAATACACATAATAATATTTAGTGCAATCATCAACAAAAGTGATGAAGTATTTGTTGCCACCACATGATTGTATGACTTTCAAGTCATACGCATCACTGTGCACTAAATCTAAAGGTTTGGTACTTCTTTCAATAGAATGAAATGAAGTTTTTGTCAACTTTGCTTTTACACAAGTTTTACACTTGTGACTCGGATTACTCTTGAAAGATGGTATGTGATCTAACTTGATTAATCTATGCAAAGAGTCAAAATTCACATGACCTAATCTATCATGCCATAATTCAGGGGACCCAAGCATGTAAGCAGAAGAAGAAGAAGATTTCTCATTCATTTTTGGGATTACATTGAGCTTAAACATACCGCCTGTTATATGCCCTTTACCCACATAGACTCCACTCTTGGTCAAGGCGACCTTATCAGACACAAACACTATGCGGAAACTATGCTTGCTTAAGAGAGACCCCAAGACAAGGTTCTTACGAATGTCCAACACAAACAGGATATTGTTCAGAATCCGTTCTTTTCCTGAAGTCAAGGCACCAAAACACGTTTGGTCCAAACAATTCACTTTGAAGTCAATAGTCTTACTATTAGGAAACACAGATCCAGAGTTCAATAGTCTACTATTCGAAACTTCATAACATGGCCAGTAGTCTTATCATTAGGAATCACTAATTTCTCAGCATGTAGTCAGTAAACTTTTTACTACTAGGAATCACAATATCTTGACATGTGATCAGTAATCACTCCACTACCAGGAATCACGACGTCTTGACATAGGATCTGTAGACTCTTTCATTACTAGACCATCATGTCTTAACATGTAATCACTAATCTGTTTACTGCTAGAAACCACAATTTCATAACTGTGTAGTCAGTGGTCTAACACCCCTTAGGAATCACCAGTTTTCTATCTCTGTGATCAATGATCTTGCACTCATTAGGAACCAGTAATTCAAGAATATATTTAGGATTATAAAAATTCAAAAAGTACATTCACCCACCCTAACGGGTTGTCTCATCTTTGTTCTTAAGCAAAGTTATATAGCAATTATATATGCTTACCTAAGGGTAACATACTAACTGTCTCTGATTAATTCAAAGATATTAGCATGCAATCTTATGATTTCTTCTAATCACATTTGATTTTTCTAGATCTTCCTTTAAGAACCTGGCAAGGTTTAAGGTTGTCAGGTGGAACAACATTCTCTGTTGTCACCTCTCGAAACCATTTTTGAAAAATCACAACAGAATTTCATTATTCTGTTTTTCCAGGAACTAAACTTAATACTTGAAAATCTTGAAGTCTGAAATTTAATCAAAACTGATCTCACCACTTACCCTAGAATCGAACATGGTCAGGAAAGTTTTCAGGAAGACTGAAGGGGTCACACCAGCCCCACTTAAGACCCCGTTAACCTTAGACAAAATTTTCAAGAGCATGTTGGCTCCTAGTCCATGAAAAACAAATTTTAAAATAAGTTTTCCAGTAGATAAATTAGGTTAAAACAAACCAAGTTTCAAAACTTACAAGCCATTAAAAAATTGCTACAACAATTACAAGTAAATAAAATGCTTCCATAAAATTGGCAATTTGACCATTATTAAAACTCAAGCAAAAAAGTTACTTCAAATATAGAGAATATCAAGCCAATCCAATTAAGGATTCTATTTGGTCCAAAATTCCTTTCCATGCTTAGGTATTTCTATTTACAGCCCCAAATTCTATTCATTTGGTTTTGTATTTTTTTTTTTTTTTTCATTCTCTTTCGCATTGATATTCCTGTAAAGAAAGTTAGTAAAAAAACACAATAAAATACAAAGCAAATAATTGAATGAAGCTATAAAAGTAATAAATTATTTTAAACCTCCTAGCAATCTACTTAATAGCAAAATAAAGTGAAGAATTAAAAAGCTTTACAAGTTACACAATAAACGTGTAACTAATTCTAGCAATTAACATGTAAATGATTCTAAAAACAAAATTATGCAAATAATTTTACAAATAATAAGCATGTAACATAAACTAAAATGTAGAAAATAAAGAACATGCAAATTATCTTTAAAATTTAGGAAATAATAAACATGTGAATTAAACAAGAATGTAGTAGATATGGAACATATTGATTATACTAGAAAATTAGAAAATAATTATCATGTTATCTTTAATTAAAAAAAATTGAAACACTCATGAGCATGTAAATTATATTATAAAATAAAGAAGCATGCAAATCATGGTAAGAAATTAAGAACCTAAACATTTAGGGGTTGTTTGGGATGACCTAAATAAGTGTACTTTTTGTCTTTTTACGAAAAGATGTGCAGAAAAGTAAAGAGGTGATGTGATGAAAAAAAGATAAAAAGATGGATTATTTTGGTGTTGCCAAACTTGGCCTTAGTATGTATCTATTTGTCCAATTTCATAGGAAACATAGAGTCTGTTTTAAGATTGTTATACAAATTGTGTGAATCAAATAAAAGAAATAGATTCATGGTAAATTAAATTGGAAAAACCACAGAATTCATGGAAAATTATATCTTGATGAACAGAAATACATATAACAAATTAAAATGCTGAAATGAGAAAAGAAAGCAAACTGAAGCTTGTGTGATACCGCAGTCTCCTTAAAACAGATTTGCCGCCTCACCATGGTATTAGAGGTATGTCGGCGTCTGTCTCTCAAGATACGACGGTTTAGAACCCGCTAATGTAGAAGCACCTTCTGCTTAGCTCCGGCAAACTGACCATGACAGCGCTCTCTCATACAAGAAGAATATATTATAGGAGCAGACTGACTATAATATAATAGCAAAAATTTGTGTACTCCAACCAAAGAGGATGGTCTCCTTTCATACGCAATGGGAAAAAGAGGAGGAGAGAACTTAGTAAATTTTTATGATTATCTTCACAATGTTGAGCATGCCCTTATATAGGTATCTGTTAGAATTTACCTACACCTACCACCACCTACTACCACACCTACTACACCTACCACCAATTTACCCTCACCTACTCCTCACCTACTACCCAAACCCTCTCCTATATAATGAGCTACTCTGATTTGTAATATAACACATCAATATCAATCAATAATCTATTTCTCTTTATACATTGAATTTCTTCATGGTATCAGAGCAAGGTTAAGAAGCTAGTAATTCTGCTTCACCGGTGGGCGGCAGCCTCGCCTTGGCCGCCCGCCGGACCTCTACACATACCTTCACTTTCCTGCATCTTCCAACTCTCTTTATCATTTTGGTGCTCCTCTCCTCTGCAACTCACGTGTTGGACACTCACCTCCACTTGCTTCCTTCTCCTTCCACGCTTGCCGACATCACAAACCCTCTCGGTACATACAATAAGGCCTCAGGCCATAGCCAAAGTCCCCACTCCCCCTGGGGCTACACCCCGGCGACGCCGAATGTTGCCTTGGATCTGAAACACTTGTGGACTGCACTCAAGCTCCCACGGTCCAGTTCGCCACTGTGTAATGCATGCATGTAAATGAAGGAAGAAAGCAGAGCTTCTCTCTCTAGAAAGAGAAGACTCTCCCCGTGGGTTCTCATGTTTTTTTGTTGTCTTGGCCAGTGTGTAGCTCGTCCACCACTCGGCTTTGTGTGAGTGTGAGTATATTGGTTTCTGTTTTTGCTCCTCTGCAAAATGACGAACTTAGCCACTGAAATGGGTAAACTCGTCTCTGAAGGCTATGTTCTAACAGTTTTGGCACCGAACGACGAAGCTATGGCAAAGCTGACAACCGATCAGCTGAACGAACCAGGTGCTCCGGAACAGATATTCCTTCACTCGCCCACTTCATGATATTCCTTTTATTATTATTATTATTATTCTTATTATTATTATTACTCTGGTTACATCCCTCTTATCAACTCTCTTTTCTATTTATATCTATATCTATCTATATTTACCTTTCAATCACTTCTGATTTTTCACAATTTTCTTTTATTTTCAAAAAAAATAAAAAATCGGGCTCTGTTCAAATTGGTCCTTGAGACATCCTTTTATGCTATTGGCAGAAAGCAGCCCTTGCGCGTTCATAGCATGGTGAAATATGCAGCCATAGCTCGGGGAGATGCTGAAATTTATATGAAGTTTGCAAGAGCCGGATACAAAGAGAAGATATGGGACCACGCTGCCGGTGTTCTGATCGTACAAGAGGCCGGTGGCGTGGTAACCGATGCAGGGGGGCGCCCTCTGGACTTTTCAAAGGGTGTGTATCTAGAAGGTCTTGATCGGGGCATAATTGCCTGTAGTGGGGATGCATTGCATGATAAAATCATCGGTGCAATTTTTGCTAGTTGGGACTCTTCTAATCTCTGAGACCTAATTTGTCGTGCCAATGGATCAAATGCATTCGATTATGTTTTATTTTGATGGGCCTCCTAATCACCAGGTTCATTTTACTGGCTATGATTGGAGCCTTTACTCACCATTTGCTGATTTAGCTGGCGGCAGGGTTTTAAATATCGGCCGTTACATAACAAAATTTTGGACTTCCGATACCTTTATTTACTAATATATCAACTGATATTATCTAATATCGACCGATATATAACTATATCGTCGATACCCTTACATATCCCGATACCATTATTTAAAATCATGCTCTGGAGTGTACAAAAGGGTGAAGAACACCTTCTTGCTTTAGTTAATTTGCTTTGGAGAATAATCATATATACTAAATGGAGGAGGATCTTTTATTTCTTCCTCTTGGTTGTGATAGATTTTCATGCTGATAAGTTGTAGGTAGGTCCAGAGACCAATTCATGTTGGAATTTAATCACTTGAGAACAGAGAAAACCTTTTATGTTCATGCAGATGTTTAAATTGTGAAATTGTGAGCTCTAGTAATATGCCGAATTGGCACAATGAATGGTTCCTTGAGTTTGTTATTCCGGAACTAGTACATGGTAACTCTTGTAATACCTGCAGAACATGAAAACAGTTTCATTAGCATGTAACGTACCGGTCCGTTTTGTGAAAGATGAGATGTATAGAATGTTATGGAGAGTTACTAGAATTAAATAGCCAGGGCCGATCCGCGCATCGCGCGCCACTTGCCGACAGCCGACAAAACGGGCGCGCAAGCCAAGGCGCTCACGTGCCTCGCCATCATGTCCGGCACGCCTTTTGATGAAGTGGGCACGCCTTTTGAGGGCGCACCTTTTGAGGGCACGCCTTTTTATGCATCGAGCACGCCTTTTGATGGCACGCCTTTTTGCAAGATTGGGCACACCTTTTGAGAGTGCGACTTTTTAAGGGTCCGACAAGACTCTGTAAACTGTCCCGACATTGATTCCGGTTAGCTCCTTTATGGGTCCGACAAGACTCTGTAAACTGTCCCGACATAGATTCCGGTTAGTTTCTACAAGGGTCCGACAAGACTCTGTAAACTGTCCCGACATAGATTCCGGTTAGTTTCTACAAGGGTCCAGAGAATTTACCTACACCTACCACCACCTACTACCACACCTACTACACCTACCACCAATTTACCCTCACCTACTCCTCACCTACTACCCAAACCCTCTCCTATATAATGAGTTACTCTGATTTGTAATATAACACATCAATATCAATCAATAATCTATTTCTCTTTATACATTGAATTTCTTCAGTATCTTTGGCAAGACATATGGCAAGGCCATGTGTACCTTATGGCTTCCAAAACCACATGTCCCTCATGGTTAGACCATGTGTGTCTCATAGCCTAAGACACCATTAAGGCCATGTGTCCCTCGTGATTAGGCCATGTGTCTCTCATGGTTAGATCATGTATAAAATGCTTAATCATCATTCTCAATCTCTCATTCATGAGGCTAACTTTATGAGACAATTTTCATTCAATTCTCAAACCAAAAAACCATTTTTTTTAACAGACAATACTGCATGATGTCCGGGACAACTAAATAATTAGAGCACCATGTAAATAGTATTGCATTGTGTCCGAGACTACTAAATAATTACTTGGAAAACAGACGTGCCAAATTAGGAAACCTATAAGACAGCAGAGTAAAAAAAATATAGGGAGAATTTTAAAGTGGAGAGTAGAAAAATATTTTCAGTGATGAAAGTGCAAGACAGACTTGCACAATCTAATGCATGAATCACTTGTACTTCCATCACTTTGAAATTATTTCTCTATTCTCCACTTTTTTTTTTATATTTTCCCTAAAATATACAATAGAAGTAAATTCTTTCCCTCAGTCCGTTGAAGTTTACAAAAATGAGATTTGTAGTATGAAAACATGGATATTGGCCAATAGCCATTACTTTTTCTAAAAGAGGATATAAAAGTGATAACTATGTTTTGCCTCACCCTAAATAAAGGACACATACAAAGGTTTACTTAAAGTTGTGAAGTGGAGGAGTTTTGGTTTCAATTTAGTGTTGCAGAAATTGTGATATTGCTAGCTTAAAAGTAATTTACTATCTGTTGCCTCAAGTTCAATGTAATGCTTTCACTAGATAATTGTAATTAGTATCATCATCATCATTGGTTATTCTTTTGTTCAATTTATTATTATTATTTTTTAAAATAAAGGTAAGGGTTCATCTCACCACAAACTTACCTCTATCAATGCCTTCATCTCCATGGTAGCATTTACCGTTATGTAATTTTTCGCGGGCTCTGTTCAAATTGGTCCTTGAGACATCCTTTTATGCTATTGGCAGAAAGCAGCCCTTGCGCGTTCATAGCATGGTGAAATATGCAGCCATAGCTCGGGGAGATGCTGAAATTTATATGAAGTTTGCAAGAGCCGGATACAAAGAGAAGATATGGGACCACGCTGCCGGTGTTCTGATCGTACAAGAGGCCGGTGGCGTGGTAACCGATGCAGGGGGGCGCCCTCTGGACTTTTCAAAGGGTGTGTATCTAGAAGGTCTTGATCGGGGCATAATTGCCTGTAGTGGGGATGCATTGCATGATAAAATCATCGGTGCAATTTTTGCTAGTTGGGACTCTTCTAATCTCTGAGACCTAATTTGTCGTGCCAATGGATCAAATGCATTCGATTATGTTTTATTTTGATGGGCCTCCTAATCACCAGGTTCATTTTACTGGCTATGATTGGAGCCTTTACTCACCATTTGCTGATTTAGCTGGCGGCAGGGTTTTAAATATCGGCCGTTACATAACAAAATTTTGGACTTCCGATACCTTTATTTACTAATATATCAACTGATATTATCTAATATCGACCGATATATAACTATATCGTCGATACCCTTACATATCCCGATACCATTATTTAAAATCATGCTCTGGAGTGTACAAAAGGGTGAAGAACACCTTCTTGCTTTAGTTAATTTGCTTTGGAGAATAATCATATATACTAAATGGAGGAGGATCTTTTATTTCTTCCTCTTGGTTGTGATAGATTTTCATGCTGATAAGTTGTAGGTAGGTCCAGAGACCAATTCATGTTGGAATTTAATCACTTGAGAACAGAGAAAACCTTTTATGTTCATGCAGATGTTTAAATTGTGAAATTGTGAGCTCTAGTAATATGCCGAATTGGCACAATGAATGGTTCCTTGAGTTTGTTATTCCGGAACTAGTACATGGTAACTCTTGTAATACCTGCAGAACATGAAAACAGTTTCATTAGCATGTAACGTACCGGTCCGTTTTGTGAAAGATGAGATGTATAGAATGTTATGGAGAGTTACTAGAAAACACATCCCTCTTCATCTTGGATATGTATATTTATATATATGGAAGATGAGATGTATAGAATGCTATGGAGGGTTACTAGAAAACACATCCCTCTTCACCTTGGATATATATGTGTGTGTGTGTGTGTAGATATTCATGTTTGTTTAACTTCTAAAATTTCCATGCCTAGCGTGAATTTTCACACGACACAAACAAGAGATTTGCAAGTTTTCTAAAAATCCAAAGATAAGACTCGCAAGGGAGACTTGTAAGACATAATTTTACATATTTATTATATGTTATATATTTGAATATTATATAACAATTCTATGTTAGATGTTTATTCTCATTGAAGTCATCACTCTTGGATATGTTACCCTAGTTTTAAAAACAAAAACAAAAAATGGGTATACATAAAAAACAAAAAATGGGTATGGTGTATACCCAACGTGTCCATCACGTGTTATCAATGTGTCAGGTTGAAAAAAAATAAAAATAAATGGGATATTTTTTTAGTGTGGTCGATATGTGTTCATGTTGGATATCACCAATACATGACTTCGGAAAAGATGTCTATGCTTCATAGGACATGGAGAATTATCCATGAATATGTACGTGCTTTATAGGACATGGAGAATTATCCATGAATACGTCTGTGCTTCATAGAATCATAGGCAACTTTCGAAGGTTACTCTTTGGAAGAATTATTTCTACGAGGACAATATATGTGGTATCCGATTTGATTTCTATTGATTTAAATAGTGGTACTTGTTACTTTCATGCTATTTTTAAGAGAAAACAGAACAAGTGTCACTACATAATTTGAATTGCCAAATAAATGTAAGTTTAGAATTTGATGGTGTGAGGAGGAGCTTCAATTGTGCATCTCTTTGATATAGAGTCACAAGTTAGTTAAAGATAGGATTAACAGCAGCACCAAGTCATCATTGAGACCTACGCTATGCAAGCTATGAAGTTATTGGAGGAAGAGACAAAGGCAAACTCCCCATACAAAGGTCTCATAGAAGATACCAAGATCATTATGCGAGGATGTGAGTGTACTGTGCAACATATGTTCAAAGAGGGTAATCTTTGTACTGATGCACTTGCAAAGTTTGGAGCTAAGCAATCAGAGGATGTTTTGGTGGTGAATGAACCACTAACTGAGATTAGGAGTCTGTTTATTACAGACATCGTTAGCAGTTCTAGGGAAAGGGCTTAGGCCTTTGTTTTTGTTGTATTTTTCAAACTTAACTGATACCTGTGATTTTCGAGCATGGACCTAAGTCTTCAACTTGCATGTATAGCCAGGCCGTTAAGGAGCAAATTGTGAGGTTAGCCATAAACTCCAACATCTTCAGCTTGACTCTCTCTAGTTTGTTTTTTGTTTTTTTTTTGGCTTAATCGGTAGTTTTGATTTTTTTTTCCTAAAATTTGATTTTATTAGTTTTGTAAAATAAGTACAAAATTCAACCTCTAGTCATTTTTCAAAATCAAATTTATTTTTTGTGGGACTCACAGGTTAACAATTCAAGCCCACCTCTCCAAACCGAATAACAAACATGGCTTTAATTAAAGGTCAACCAACTCATTAGCTTAGGATTAATTCCCGAGATTCCTTTCCCCTTCCTCAGAACGAATAAATAATATTTGTCAAAAAATTTTATGAACTTCGAAATATTTTTTAATCTTATTATGCATCAGAATAGGAAACGCTAGAATTTGAGAAAGTATTTTATGTAACAAGTAAATTGCTTGATTGAGATAACGTAATTGTTACTCTTTCACTCATTAATTGATATTTGATAGGAAGTAAAATCAAAATTAGATATAACCGAATACTTAGGATTGGTTTGGGATATTCTAAAAAAGTGTACTTTTTGACTTATTGGCTTATATGGGTTGGGTTTTGATTGGGTTTGATGTGTTGTGTTAGAGAGGTGATGTGATTAAATAAGATGATGTGACTTAAATAGGATAGTGACTTTTTGACTTTTTGTATTATTTAAGTTACGCCAAACTTGACCTTAGTACCACAAACCGGACAAAAAGTGATTTTTTTTTTATATTATTTGAAGAATAATGTCTATTAATAAATGGAAAGATATAGCACGGCATCTCCACCATGTAGGTACCCTATGCACTAAATTTCTTATTAAAAATATATATATGTTCAAATAATCATTAAATATTCAAATATTATAGTCCTTTTTTTTATAGCTAATCATACTCTCT